TAAACGATATAAGCAAGTTATCTTTCAATTAAGTAATTTAAAGAGTTTATATTATAAGACATTAAATATTGTACACTTCTATATTGAGTTCACAAACATGAAACGATTTTTATAATGTGTATGGATTAACTTTAGCGATATAGCGCGAACGGATATTATAAGTGTAACAATGAGCGGCTGAACAGCTGTCGTTTCGGACACGTTCCGCAATGGTGCCATATTTACCTTTTTTAATGGAAATCGTTAAAGAATTATGAAGATATGTTTGAAATGGGATATTTTTTATATTTAAGTGTTATTATATATTCTGGTACGCTATTAAGATTAAAGTCTATTTATATTATATAAAGGCTACGTGGTAGAGCCATGCTGTAGCCATATTAGTTGTGTAGTTGTAGTACGAATGGGTCGGCTCGACCGAGGTAAGAAAACAATAAAATTGTAGCTCAATGCTGCTGTGTTCCATACGGTGAGTGTAGAGAAATAGAGACTATTTCACTGGAAACGAGATATTCCATCTTAGTCCTCACGGATGACAACGCATCTGCATTTTGATCCGTAATCGAGGATAGATGTAGGTGTCTATGGGCCACAGCAATTATTTACCATCAGGTGGACTCTATGCTCGTTTGCCAATTATCCTACAGAAAAAAAATTAAAAAAAAAACAGTCTGATAAAGTCCCTAACTTTCCCTGAATTGCAGTAATTGTTCAATTAGCCATGAACCTGCCATAAATCAACTTATGTTTCAATATGCTTTAAACTTTCTCTGTTTAACAAGCCGAATGGTTTAAAAAATTATCAAAAAATCCGTGCTGCGTAAAAAAGATTACTGAAAAAATTTACACCTTTTGTCACTTCAACAACTAAGGCGATCTAACGACATCCCAAAATATATCAAACTTAGCCGTTTAAGCTACCAGGTGTGCCAAAGAAGTAGATATACATACCTACAAAAACTCGAAAATCATTGAATTCCTTCTGTAGTAGTCTGATAAAAAGTACTGTTTTTGAATAAATAAATGCGTGTATTAACCATTTATAAGGAATATTTCCGGGAGTTATTATAATAACCGAACTCTTACACCTATTATAAAGGTGCCCCTTAAAGCATAGGGTCATCGGGCGGGCCAGTATAACGCATTGTTTGGACCGGATATTATTATTTTAACATCATGCGTGTCTGCGCGTCTGTCTGCCCTTTACAATGGTATGCATTAATAATGACATTTTTAACACCCTACATTTCAATGCATTTTATATTCTAAAGCATATACATATGAGTGATATTGCAGAAAATAACAGTTATATCTAACCTTGTGTTAGCGTTAATAAGTGTCCTGGTTAGCAATGGAAGATATTACTCGTCCGTTGTAATTCTACGTGGTAGAGCTATATTGTGGTTGTAGAATGAATAGGTAGAATGGGCCGGGGAAGAATCAGACTTTCATAGAATATCAGAGTAAAATAGCTGCTTGCTGTATTTCATATGGTGATTATAGAGAACCGGAAACCATTTTTACCGGAAAAGATGCTTTACATTGTAGTCCTCAAAGTTTACAACGCATCTGAATTTTTATTCTTAATCAAGGATAGACGTAGAAGTCTACGGATTACAGCATGTCCTTACTATCAGGTAGAGTGTGTGCTCACCTTTATTTGTATTTATAAAAAACCACATTCACAGTAACCAGACGAGTGACAATAAATAGCAAAATATAAATAGTTCTAAACTTTGTTTTATCATCCGATGGAGTAGTTAAATGCTCCTGGCTGAGGGCACTACTATTGTCGACAAACAAATCAGCTTACCTTGCGTGGTTACATTAAATATCTACTGAGGAGTAGCAACTTTCGTAGTTCACCGTGTAGTGCCGGCGTAAAAAAAAATTATTACCCCATATCATCCCGTGGATGTCGTAATACGCTACAGACGGAAATAAAACAGGATTGGCAGTAGTATCTTCCTGACGCCAGCCACGGTAACTATGGCAATACCACCCCTCTAAGGCGATCTTTAGGGAAAGCCTATATCCGCAGTGGACCTTTGATACTGTAATGAATGAAAGCGATAGTCCATGCCAAGCATTGGAGTTTTGACTGCTCCATGGATATGAAAAGCTGTCGAGTAGAGACACGTTCTGGAGTGGCAGCCTTGTACCGTTACGCGAAGTGTAGGACAGCCTCCCACTAGTAGTCTACAGCTACACATAGGAAGCTACTGAACGTTCCCAAGAATAACTCAAAGCAGGGTTTTGAGTTACCTGTATCCGTCGACTTCCTGCATCTCATACCAGGTCATCACTTTCTTTTAGAATTAGTGTGAGAAACGAGCACAAAGTCTCCCAGATGGCAAGTTGGTGAGGACTAAGATGAAATGCCTCGTTTTCAATACAAAAATCTTCTAGTTATCTATTATTACCATGTGAAATATAGCACCATTAAGCTGCTATCGTACGCTAGTATTCTGTAAGAGCGTTATATCGATGATGATTAGAGTGAGAGCGCAAATTAAGACACGATATGCCGTACAAATATATGTATTTCCTGGACATTTACGGATAGAAAATGAAATGTCTAGCTTTTTCTCTTCTTCTTTATTGGCATGTTAAATTCGATACCTAGCCTACCTACCTACCTAATAGTATTAAATTATAGAATCTTTAGCTTATTGATTTATTTAACTCATTCTTAATAAAACCTAGAGTTAAAATAAAGAAAACCTCAGAAAAGCGGCAGTAGAGACATCTAGTTTTTGAAAGCAAAAAGAAAATTGTCTATTGTAATAAACGGATGAAAACGTGCCAACAGAATTCTAGATTATGTTTACATACATGATGATTATTTAAATGTATTATTACTTAGAAATTGTTTATCATCAGAGTGTAATATAATTATATGATCAAAAAAATAACGTAGTTACAGCGCTAAAAATTTTAGAAAATAGGAAAATAAAAATAGATTTTTTTAAGTTAGGTTTTCGATCTATTTTATTAGGTTTTCGATTTACAAATCGTTTAAAGACATAATTTATATTAATATTTTAATGTAATTGTACAAATTTATACAAACATGTATGGTTACATAATGCCGTATGAAACTATTTCTTTCGTATCTTAGATTTACAACAAAACGCTTAGATATGAACCCAAAGATTATCACGTTTCTCTGATGAACCGTGCTGAAAATTCCTTAACCAGAAAAAGTAAAAGACGAATTTCTGATTAGTTACTTATAATCTATATTCAAATACTTTTTGTAATATTTTTTATTATTACTTCCTCAAAACAAAAACATAAAAAGACGGGTAGATACCTACATAAAAAGATAAAATTTTTCAAAACCTTACCAAGTTATAGATTCACAAACTATATCTATATTCACTCATCAGCCAATATATTTCTAGCAACTGTTTATATTCAACTAACTTCGTAGATCTAAGTTGAGTAATGTAAATTATAGTCTACCGCAGTTTTTCACAAATTCTCATGGAGTTTATTCATAAGCGCCCCCTGGCAACTTACATCAATAAATACGTGGTCACAGACCGTAAAAAAAATTCCTAGTCACTCCCACGTAGTTAGACCACGCCTGTTCATTATTGTACCCAACAATTGTCTTAGCGTTTAACTTGCGATTTTAGATAATGACTTGAGCATGTTGCTCCATGCCATTTTAGACCTAATTACACACGTTATTGTTAGTGGAACTAGATTATTTTTCTATACTGTGGACAATCAGATGTATCTACTTAATTAAAATATTTTGGAACTAAGTCAATAATAAAACGGATGAGTACGACGATTCGGGTATAGTATTGTGCCTTTTGTATTTCATTATTAAAAAAGCACGAGTTATAGCTAACAACCAATTGCAACCTAAAAATATTTTGTTTTAAATATTTGTATACATCATCGTTATAAGGAGAAGAAAGAAAAATGTTTTGACCATATTGTTAGCAAAAATCAGTTATACATAAAACTCCTTGCGTAAATTTCAGTATCTATCTACTATAAAAAAATTTAACTTTTTTTATAATTAATAAGGACCATATTTACAACATAAATAAAACAATAGTCATATTCAAATATTTATTTTTTCTATTGTGACATTTTGTTCAGAATAATTTAAGAATTACTTATATTATGAAAGCTGTCTACACCCATTAAGATGGGTCGTAGACAGCTTTCGTAGCGTGCTACGCCATCTGCCGTGGGGTAGCGATAGGGTTAAATTATTCGAAGAGGGCGACAGACGGAACGAAACTTTTTGAAAGCTTAGATATGAACCACAATGAATTTCAAATCCTTAAATTACTAAGTTCCTAAAAAAACATAAAATATAATAAGTTTTAGATAATTTATTAAAAATAACGTAGTCACTATTCTATGTTCTTTTACAGAAAAATCCCCAAGAAATTTGGCATGATTAGGGATTTTAAGATAATATGGAATACATCATGTCTCAAGTTTAGGTAAAAAAAGAATAATCTGTATTCAAAAGGCCGTTTGCTAAGCCCCATAAGTTAAGCCCCGCCTGAACGTGAAAAAAAAATTCAATAGTAAAGAGGCGTTACGGAAGTATTTAAAAAGTCACCCTGAAATAGCTTTATACGAACCCTCCAAGTGCGAGCGAGACCACTGACAATAAGAAAAAATTGTAAAGAAAGGCAATTCTTTTTCATTTCCTCCTCACTAATAGAGGCTTAGAAAAAAATTCGGGCGCACTACTCGTCCTTTTCTAACGCATAGGGGTGGGAAGCGACCGGGGTCGGCCGAGCGAGAGGCGAAACCCTTCGCGCCCTTTTTAATAGTTCTTATTTCGTCTGTGGTCCGAGCGGTCCGTCATGCGATTTTGGGGAAACTCGTGCGAGTGGCGTGCGGCGCGAGGCATCGCATGGACAATCGCCGGCTGACCGGCGGCCGGTCCGTCTTTTCCTTGACCGCTCGCATTTTTCCGCGGAAAAAACGCGGGGCGCACGCGCCCGGCGCCGGTGGGGATGTTCTTGACGACGTCTAAGGCGGCGGGGGCGGCGCCGCGTCTTGCTAGTTGGACCGGCGTCTTCGCCTGGCGCGCGCGTTCGCCCCACCCCGCAAGAAAGCGTCGCGACGCGCAAGTTTTCCACCAAGAAGTTAGTCGTCGCCCGCCCGCGTCTCAAGGAGGTCTCGCTTCCGCTTTTCCATCTCGGCCGCGTAAATAAACCAAACCTGACGCGTGTTTAAAGAGTATCCTCCCTTGCAGATCCGGCGCGGAAGGACCGGAAAACAACGCGACACATCGCATGTGCTCCTTGTGACGATACACCTGAAACTGGAATTAATGTTGAAATACTTCAATGAGAACATATCCCTAGCGCTCCAGGAGAGGTACAGGGACCTCCATGATTTTCGGAAGACGGAAGCGGTAGAGGAAGGATCACCGAGGGAGGCGAAAGTACCGAAAATAGCGGAGGAGGGGGAAGCGGTCGGCGGCGAAGGCGCCTACGAGCCGAGCGCCGCGCCGCCGTTCCCGAGGCTCCTGGAGGCGCCCAAGGAGGAAGACAACTTTGTAGCCAGTTGGCTGCAAAATTCCTTTAAAATGACGGCTGCTGAAGGCAACGAAGCTTCAGCTGGAGGCAGTGCTCTAGACCTTCGTGCTGCTCCGCTGTCACTCCACATACCAGCACTGCAAGCAGAGGCACAACGTCAGTTCAAGATGCAGGACTTTTGGAACAGAAGTCGCCCTGTTACCCCTGCCCAGGAGCAAGCTGAAGGACATAATGTGCCTGGTCCGGCTCCTCCAACACCACAACCATCAGCTACTCCTGATCATAAGATCATGGCTGAGAAGTTGGTTAGCGAAATTCAGGTGAGTCTTTTCAAATAATAACTATAATTAATTTCTTTTAAGTTTTGTTTAGGGTATCAAAATTTTCAACTTATTGATATATATCTAAAAATTTAATTATCCGGTCAAATGTGAAATGTTATTATTTCTGTCCAAAATCTATACAACATAATAATAATTTATTATATTCGCGTTACACATAGCACATTAATGTGATGAGGTGTTTTCCGACGGAAATCCTTTCGACAAAACATTATTACATTTACAAAAAACTTACCGCGTAATTTTCAGAAACTGAAAAATCTAATCCACAATATTTTCTGTATTTTATTAGAATAATTTGTTGTTGTTATTACAATAATATATTAGATTTCTGTCACTCAGTAAACCACTATAAAATTATTCTCACTTATTTTAAGATTTCGATTGCTAATCTAAAATATTAGGAAGTTCAACGTGTGTCTACTTCGAATCATGTAAATCGACTGACCCCCTTAAGGTCTTACTAAACTTGTTCCAAACTCCAAATGATCCCTTCTTCCTTAAAAAAGATACAAGAAGTAAGACAACATATTGTGTACCTTTTGTTAACCAAAGAAAGGGTTAAAGGCCTCGCGGTGAACTTATTATTAAATCGTTTTTGTCCTTACTTCGCATCCGGTTTTTACAAAGGATATGTAAATTACAATAATCAATGATAATTCTATTATTTCGGTATTAACTTATGATCAACTTGTCGGCAATGTTTTGTTCTTCAGTTTTTTTATTGGTTTTATATTTGTTTTGACCATATGGCTTATGATTGCGGACGTCACTAAATATATTTTTTCCTCTTCTCCGTCAAACCCTTTTATTGACATAGTGTTATTAATTGAACTTTGGTAAACGTTAGTATTGTTGATTAAGGATTTCTTTTTCAATATCGGTGATTTTATTAATTATTACATAATTAAAAGTTATATTTAGATATTAATCACAGCAACACAATTTTTTATGATACTCCAATTTTTAATTCTACTGATATAAACACAAATATGCTCGATTTTCAGTAAAACCCTAGTTTTGTGCTATAATAGTATTATGTAAAGTATGTATGCTTGAAATTAAAATCCCATTTTGTAGTTTTGACTATCATAGCAGTAAATCGTGGATTTTATTGAATCATTTAGAGTATCGCAGAAAATCCTATTACTAAAAGTAAATTTTAAATATTAAAAAATTAAATAAATTTACTATACAAAAACTATTTAAATTAAAATAATATTTTAGTAAGTTCAATTAAAACCTTTAGTGTTACGTGGTAGTAATTTTATCACTATGAATGTTAATATTATATGAATGTGAATACAATTTTTAAAACAAGCAAATCGCAGTTTCGATATTCGAATGTAGGTATTAAAAACAAGTAAAAGTAATATCATCTTTTATAATTTAATAGTATAACTGAAAGACGAAAGAATATTACTTTTTAAATTAGTTTCGGATTCGCTCACCTTACATTTGTCTTTTCCCACGGAATGGATTAGGGTTTCATTGTGATTTAATTTTTTTTTATTTTTACGTCGCTTTGTTTCACGGAAGGGGTGTTGACAGTTATTTGTTGCGAATCTGTTCTCATTCTTTTTTTTTTTGTTTTAAAGTTCTGTTTAAACAGTAACCGGTTTTGATATCCTGTTTTGTATTCATCGTTTTTTTTCCGCAAATAAGGGTTTAACGGTTTGACAATTTGAAGTACCTACGCTATTGTGGTCGGAGCATTTTCTAAAGATGGTTAATTAAAAATTGATTTATTAATTTCTTTCCATAGCGTGATCGTTCGCTGTTATATCATCATATTTTTTAATTTTTTTTTTAATTCTATCAAAAGTGATTCGACCAAGAAATCCTAACGTTTTTTTTGCCACATCTCATAAAGTTCTAGAGGTACATAATTTTATCCCGCATCAGTCGCCACTACTGGATAGTTATCTAATATAAATAGAATATTAAAGAAGAGAAAACACTACCACTAAAGAACTTTATTTTGTGACAATAGCCAATATCATCGCGAAGGTGTCGTACAAGGCAACAGGGGGATACTAAAACTGGAGATGGAGAGCAACATCTTGTGATAATTGCATAAGAAAAAACTGCAATTGCTAACTCGCCTCATAAGCGTGGCAACTGTGGCAAATATGGTGCAACTACGTTCAGCAGTAGACTTTTGTAGACTGTAATGAATGTATAAATTATAGCGTTGTTGATTTTAAGTAAAAAGCTACCTTATCGTTTAAAACATACGGAGCTTTATAAATAGTTATCTACTATTAATAGTTATATGTTTCATCGAATTTTTATTTAAAATGTTGTTTTGTAGAAATTTTTTGTAGTATAAAATCTAACATCGCTGTCTTTCTCTTTCACGCCTGCCTCGTTATGCATTGAAATGGGACAGCAACAGCAACAATCACCATCCGCAGACTCCACAATGAGCGAAAGATCCCTCGTACCATTTGCACTGGTAAATTTACTGTCATCACTCAATAATATCGATGTAAATAATTTTTTTCTTCATTTTTCTATGTGTGAGTTTTCGTGTTTTATTTTCTAGAATTTACATGCTTGTACTTACTCTGTGTTTTATAACCACTTTTTAATTCAAAAGAGGTTTCTATCGTATTTTAAAATTCGAATAGTTTTTGTTTATAGTTTTAATTATTGAAATTCGTGTGTACCTGTTTAGTGTTTGTTTTTAAATGTTTATAAGGTAAGTTTTAAATTATTTGCATTATAAAAGAATGTAATAATAGGCTTACTGCATGATTATAATAATAATTTGCTGCTTGTAAGCGGTGTTGTAAGCGTCGATAGCAAAATTATATTTCGTTGCTTTTTATATTATAAGTAAATTGTGAATATGAATTAAATTTTGAAAGATTTTCTAACAAATAATTATTATTTTTGTGTTTATGTTTAATGTTTATGTAACATTTCATCAACTTACCTAAAATACGTTTTAAAATGTATTGAGTAATGAATAATTTTAGATTTTATTAAAAAGTAGAATAACTCGCATCGAACACGAGATGGCCTTCGTGAGAATACTAGGTCATAGTTATAAAATTATTGTATCGATTCTTAACACATCTGTAAATTTTCAGATTATCAAATGTCCGAAAGCCACTGAAAACTGAATTACATAACTTCAGTAGATTCATACATGTAGATAGACATAGGTACAAAAGTACATATCGGTCAATTAATAAAAAGTGTGATTAAATTTTAACTTTTTCAGTTAAGTATAGTATTTATTATTTTTATTTACACTGACCATCTATTTTTTCCACATGCAGCCTCAACAGCAATCGCCTACTGGAGACGCTCCAATGGGAGACCGAAACTCGATGTTACCCTTCGCATTGGTAAATTTCCTGAATAGCCTCAATATCGATGTAATTATTTTTATCTTTCTTTCACTTATCCTTTCCTGAACTACGGAAACTCAAATTATAGGTCACATAGTTTTTAGGCCAGTATCAAATTTAATTTTTTTAATCTATTAAAAATAGTGAAAATCATATGAACACAAAAAAGTACTATTTTAAGCAATATATTAGAAGAAACCTCAGACTGGACCTTTCAAAATTGAAAAGAAATGTGTAAACGGTAATTTAGACAGTCGGCGATTATACTATCAAATTTCTTACACTTTCAACGTCTTAATATATTTAAGGTTTAGCAGATTGTGGATTCTTTACAAAAAATTATAGATGGAAAAGATTTTTTTAAAAGTACCTATCATAATTTCGTTTTTAAACCTACTCTGTATTTTTATAGTAATTTAATTGCTATCAATATATAAATTCAAATAAATAATAATCATAATGACAAAGGTGTTTCTACGTTTATAGAAAACAAAACATTTGTAATAAATATATAAAATTAAGTGTATTTAAAGAATAAAGAAAATCAGCTTGAACCTAGTTAAAATTACGTTTTCCGCAATATCTTAATAATTATAAACGAACTTAATATTAATACTTGGGAAAATTTTGAATGAGTTTCCGTAGTTATCTTTAATCAGTTTATTTTAACAACGAGCTTTATATAAAATGAAATATTGTGTCATATTCGTGTGAAATATATCACAGATTAACTGTAATAACTTCATTTATTATATTTAATACTCATAATGGTCAATGAGAGCCTTTGCTTCCTTGCAGCAGATGGAAACTTTGAGGGAATAATCATATCTTTCAGAACAAATTTCATACCTGAACGGAGTATATCCATCTGCACAGGACAACATTGTTATGCGCGAGTGTTTAAGCAAGCAATCACAGATGAACTCTCTATATTCTCTCTCTCTCTCTCTCTCTCTCTCTCTCTCTCTCTCTTTTATAGTCTAATGGAAATAAAACCAGAGAGAGAAATCAAATGTTTTACGTGCACGGGGGTCAAAGGGGCCAACTTCCTGTCTCCGGGCTGCTATAAAGCATGTTTTGACAGAAAAACCTAAAAATTAATTTCGTCCCGATGCGGTATTTGAACCCGGAACGAATAAGTAACACCAATATACCAACAAGGCAGTTGAAAGAAATACTTATCACTGGACGTGTATTGCTGTGCGTTGTCCAAGACGAGAACAGTTTCCTCTAAGATCGTGTAGAGAAAGATGTAAAGGAAAATCTTTATTTCTGGGGCTTTTTTCTTAGAATGACAACGTTTCCCTAGCCTTCTGTTTGTTTGAAGTTGTGTATAGTCACCACTTACCAATAGGTGGACTGGAATTTATCCCTTTAGTTACCTATATAACAATAATACAATTCACTTCCCTTTGACCACAAATCATTAGTTCAAATTATTTTCTATAAAGCTCGCTAACGTATAACTTTTTGTTTTACAAATAGCAGTGTGTAGTGATATGGGTTGTTGACATCATCTATTAACAAATTGCTACATCGTATCAATTTATACATAATATATTGAATTCAAATCCTACTTTACGTAGTGATTTGAAATTTGGTCGTTTTCCGTTTCAGGTTAAATTAGATTTTTCATATTTAATAATAAACGAAGAGTTTTATTTCAATGTAAGATTCTATAACATACTCTTATTACTTTACGACTTCGTTAATTTTTTATTTGAAATCGTTTAAAAAGTATTTTAATTGATATGTGTGTCAACTTCCTTATTTAGCAGTATTCTTGTTGAAGCCATGAAATGAAAATAGTGGTTTAATTTTATACTTTTAATTAGGTATTAACATTCTTATAAATGTTAAATGCTTAATAGAGACTTTCGACTAAAGAGAAATTGAATACTTACCTACACAATCTACTGTTTTTATCAATAAATTATATAGATATTAAGTTCATGAATCTAAAAACATACAACAAATATTTGTTAAATCAAAAAAACAGATTGTCTTTAATTTCACCCAACATGCTTCCTTTTATAATGAAAAAATAAATAGGAAAATTCAGATTTTCTTGCCGTCCTAAACTGAATTACTGAGGTTTAATTTGATAGTAACCTAAGAAATCGATATTATTGCGAAGTACCTTAATATTTCATTATATCGTGATACAAAAGTAAGCCTCAGTAATTTGTCAAATTTAATAAATTTTCAGCTAAGCATACAATAGTCATAATTTATACATGTCTGTGAATTTATACTATAGCATTAGTCTAGCGCGCACGATAAGTATAGGATTGAGTTAACGTTTCACTCTTTAAGTGTCAATTTTCATGACATCCTCATGACAAGTAGCCATTTTAAGACATTTTTTTATTTTGGTCACCGTGTAAAATTATTAACAATTGGAAATAAAAATGTATATTTATGAAATACTTTATAGTGAACCAAATCTAAGAAATACCTTTTGAAGTTTTACATTAATCATTCCGCAATAACTTTTCATAAGCGTACTCACACGATTTAAAATAACCTTTTACGTAAATCCGAAGAATTATGAAGTTATCTATATTTCATTACAACGTGTATAGTTTTCGTTCACTAATTTTAATTTCAATTTTTCAAACAAAGCAAAATATTAAAAAATAACAAGTATTAACTGTATTAAATGTTTGTTTGTTTACCGTAGTGTTGGATGATTAAAATTCATTGTTATGCGAATAATCGACAAAATATTCAAATAATCGGTAAAAATATTCTAATAATCGAATCATTAATCTCTTTAATGTATTATTTGGTTAATTTAATTTTTATTTTCAAAATTCTTAAATTACATGAATCATAAATAAAAAGTTTATTTTTTTCACTTTGTCAAAGTAAATTTGTGTAGGAAAAAAACTCATATACAAGGCTACTACTAAAATAACCACTACATAATTTCAACATTCCGCCATTTCGGTGCCAGTTACTCGACTCCACAGAATCAGAAATTCATTCTAGATTCTAAAATTTGACGTAAGTACACAAAGTTCAAAAACTTTATTAAACTAAGTTTGTATAAAAATGGTTACTTTAATATTAAGGAATTCATGGATGATTATAACCCCTGGGAAAGATGATCGCTACCAAGCTATTTCTAATTTGTTTTGTCTTGTTAATTGTAACACGTATGATTGTAAGCTCTTATTCTAAAAAAAAAAAACTAGTCCCGGTGGGTTTCTTGCTGGTTATTCCCAGGACAGAGGGTTTTTTTTTACGAACCAGTGGTAAATGAAAAAAGTGATTTTCAATAAGTATTATTCATAATCTATATTGAATAAAAAAGTTTCTGTTTCTGTTTCGAGAGTTTACTATGCGTAATTCTATGATTTTGTGTTTGTCTTCTTATTTTGTGACTTGGCATTAACTTTTTGGACTGTTTCTTCTATAATAACTTTTTGTAAGTGGTGGTCACGCTATAATTTATATTATAGTTGTAGCACGAATGGATCGGCTCAACCAGTGCAGGACCACGCTCTCACAGAATACCGGCGTAAAATAGCAGCGTAATACTGTTGTGTTTCGTATGGTGAGTGTAGAGAACCGGAGACCCTTTTTACTAGAATCGAGGCATTCGATCTTGGTCCTCAGACGTGATAACGCATTTGCATTTTGATTCTTAAGTGAGGATAAATGTGTATCTCTATGGGCCATAGCATCGACTTATCATCAGATGGAGTGTGTGCTCGTTTGTCAGCCAATGCTATAAAAAATATTCGTTGAAGCATGTGCCCATGTCAGTTGTGAGTTTCAATCTTAAATTTTTATAACTGTGCCTCTAGAAATAAGCAGTAATAACAAATACGAAGAAACTGATAAATCTTGTGTTTTAAATTATCCGTTTTTAATTTATCTGGTATTATTCAAACCAAACTGTAAATGATTACAAACTCTAAATAGGTAATCGATATCGATTTTTTTAAGAATCGAATATTGCTTGGTGCAATAATTCTGACAGCTGTCAAAATGTATTTCTTAGATTTGGTTGACTATAGTAAAGCAAAACTTACCGTCTTCGGGTGCATTACAACTTCATAAATGGGCTTAACACTTAGAATAGTTAAAAAAATGTCAGTTTGTGTTTTTATTTTTGTCGTGCGCGCAAAGTACTTATCTACATTTCATATTTTAACCCTTTCACTGTTCTTTTAATCATATGGACGACACACACGGTCAGTTCAACTGATCAACTGATCAGTTCAAACTAGGACTGTTGATATTTTTTTATATTTATAGTTATCGATATATCGGATTTTCGATAATTATAAATATATCAATATCGGAGTTTTATATTATATAGGTTTATTTATCGATATATTGAAAACACGATTTTAAAAAAATGTCAACAGTCCTAGTTTGACTGATAAGTTGGAGTGATCAGTTGAACTGACCGTGTGTGTCGTCCAATGTATGATCATTTTGATGGTTTAACGTTTGTGTCCACTTCGCGGACAGGGAAACTGTTAATATAATCATTGTAATAATTGCAGCTTAGAAAAAAATATTTTGCTTTGTTATTTATAATTTGTTGTTTGATACTAAGAATTGAACTGTAAAATGTTTCGGTTTTTCCAATAGCAACAAGCGCGCTCGGGGCAAAGCATCAGCGAGCGGACGCTGGAGGAGTGCTGGTCGACACTGCAGCGTGTGAGTTGGCACCTGTTTCAATGCGTATTGTTATCTTCCAAAAGTAAGATTTGTGTGGCGGCTGTTATATCGACGTATTGGGCGCGTTTGGCAGAAAAAAGCGCTAGCAAGCCCTTGTAAGCAAAATGGCGAAACTAAACAGTTTTCGGCCAGGACACGTTTGCTAACTTCAGTAGCGCTGACACAATCCGCCATTTTGCTTATTTAATTTGTTTGTTTTGAAGTAGAGTTTATAAGTTGTTTTGTGCAATATTAGTTTTAAGTAATATAATGACATGAATAAACATATACATGTTATTAAAAATTCATGATTGGTAAGGTTTTAATATGAACACTTTACAAATATATATTTAAATTAGGTTAGGTTCCCCGGTTAAAAACTAACTTCGTGTCCTAGAGGAAAATAGCTACTTACGATTTGACAGCGCTTACCGCTTACGATCGCCATTTTGCTTACAAGCGCTTGCTAGCACTTTTTTCTGCCAAACGCAGCCATTAATTTTAAATTTTTATTTGTTTATTAGCATATACGGTCAAACCTGGATAAGCGAGGGTTCAATGGAGCACAATCTCATTCTCGCTTATAGAGGTTTCTCACTAACCCGAGTTTCTCGCTAATGCAGGTACATGGGTAGCGTTTCTCTCTTATAGAGGTACGCAGCAATAACAACGTTAATTAGTGCCACGAAATAGAATAGGTACAATATTGACGAGAAAACAATACAAAAACCATGGTAGGAAATTCCACGAAAGTTAAGAATAAGTCATAAAATAGCAGATGTTAAATTTGTAATTTGTTTTGTCATTTGTTACTGTATGTGTGTATTTATTATGTATGTATGTATTTTTATTGTAGCTATAGTTCCTCCTAAATAATATAAATAAATAAAGCTCGATTGTCGCTTATAGAGCTATAGATAAGTAGCAGTCTCACTTGCGGAGGTCTATGAGGGAAAAACGACTCTCTCTTACAGAGGTTTCTGTTTCTCGCTAATAGAGGTTTTGGGAGCTCAAAGTATTACGGGTCCTGGCTATTACTCTCACTTATAGAGTTTTCTCACTTATCCAGTTCTCACTTACCCAGGTTTGACTGTATATTTTTACTTTTTTTAGAGAACAGCAGCGAATTAATTAGTATAGGATTTTTAACATGTTTTTCTTCCTTCTTGACTCCAATATTTTATATTGTAACAAGCGATCGATTTAACATGCCAAAGCATAAATCCACACAAATGGGGTATTGGTTACTAACCTATAACTCTTATATATTTAATTTATTTTTAAGAATTTTAAACAAAAATTGCCAGATTCTCATTTCTTTAAAGCAATTCTTCGATAAATTTAAAGGTAATGAATTCTTCACGCAAAAAAGATGTTATCGATATCGACGGGTCTAGCGGCGGGTGGCAAAGGAAACGAGGTGTAGGGTCTTTCAAACGTAAGGCGAAACTTTGAATATCTAGGTCCCATCTATTTGTTGCATATTTATGTTGTTTACTGTAATGATGGAAGAAATGAAAGTTATTAGGTCCGTTATTACTTTCATGTTTTTAATATTGTTTGAAACATAAATATAGCGAACTGATTCCATATTACAACCTTATTCGTTTATTTAAAATTTATTTAAACCAGGCACTTACAAAACTGCTTTATGTAGATTTCCAAGGATTCTTACATCTTACACGAAACATTAAAACACAGTTCCGTTGTCATCCTTATCTAAGATGAAATATCCCGTTGTTAGTAATTGGTATAATTACCCATTTTTATCAATGAGCCTACGAAAAACAATAGTTTTACATAGTATTCTGCGATAGCGAAGTATTTCATTTATCAGCAATAAAAACCACTACAAGTCATCACAATTCCCCTGCTGAACATATTATAGCTCCCCCGTAGATTGCAAGTAGGACATAGTATAGTCCTGAGTTACCTGCATCCGTGTTTCATGCGCCATCAACTACAAGTCTGTTTCATGAGATCGCGCAATCTATTGGGTGTCGACCAACACTGCGTTTACCAATACGAAGCCACCAATCAAGAAATTTTTTCCCCATCGGTGGTCGATACTTCGATTTATATGGCCGACCTACATTCCCTCTATTGTAACATACGATCACTAAATTCCATTTATTTAAAATCATTTTAGGCCAGAAACAAAAACTTTCAAAAGATATAATACTCTATAACTATACGTTATAATACAGTATATTTTAATTTAAGTATATTATGTCTCATTATTTTACACAAACATCTATCGTCGAAAGAAATAACAAGACATCACTAAAAAGTTCCATAGAACCGATCATGGCATAAACAAGCATTGTACCTACCGCCGCCGTGGGCGTGCTAACATATTATTTAATCTGTGATCGCACCTCCTTGGTTTTATTTTGGCGGTAAAATAATCGCATCTGCTTTCAAGGTGCCGTATGCCATGTCCAGGAAGTACCTGTATTTGAAACATCTGCAGTTAGCATTATTGTACTCGCGTATGGTTCTTAATGTATTGTAGTGGATAAAGAATTATAAAATTATTATCGATTTAAATTATCGAGTGCACAATCAAGCGTTAATATTTTATGCTTGTCAAAATAATATACTCTATCTAATAGTAATTAATTGGAGAGGAGAGAGCGAAGTTCCCATGGCGCAAGAATACGATTCTTTGAAATCTATCTCCTCCGTAACCCGTAGGCCAATTTACATAATTTTTTCGGCAATATTTGTAGCTCAACGCAGACAACGCAACAATAAAAATGCGAATTTGATTTTTTTTTCTTTTACTATCTAATCAATTCGCTAATTTACACCTGCGCCATGTCACACCATTTGATTGAATCTTTTGTTGAAATAAAGATAGTTATGACTTTGGATTTTTACTCCGCTCCGTTTATGATGCTAGCAAAAGATCTTAGCTTTACGTCTGCATCGGCCCTAGTAATAACTAACTGTAAAAAAATAACAATAATAAAACTATTTTAAAAATCGCAAAAAAATTTGATAAATATCAAATTACCGAATAATTATTTCAGTTACACAATGAATTTATTAATTTTATTGCATGATTAAAATCCTTGATAAGTATACATATACCCATATTATCCCGTGGGTGTCGTAAGAGGGAAGCAAATCAGGAGATGGGCAGCAGCGGGTTCCTAATAACGCCTTAAAATTTAAAAAAAAAACTGTGGCTGCCTACCCGTTTGCCAAGAGTTGCAAATATGGCAAAAGCCTCCTCTAGGGGGCCTATGTTCAGCAGTGGACACTCATAGGCTGTAACGGTAACGTAAAGTAAACATGTCGCTGTACAAACCACGGGCGCAGATAGAAAAGAACAATTTTTAAAGAAAAAGTTTTTATTGTACATTGTTGTGAATATTGCAAGGTTCGCTTGCTACGTTTACAACATTGTGCACAGGTGCTTAAAAATAAACAGCCCAGCGTACGTTGGACGTGAAACGGAAAAGTGCACTCGGGTAAAATAAAAACTGCTGTCTGGTACTGTGTAGCACTTGATCTTTCGGCGGTGAACTGGATAAGGAATTCTAGAGTAGTGTTATGTCTTAAAAAGTTTGCCGAATTCTGGACTTATTTACAGTGGATGCAGTAAACTCCAAATTGGTAAAATATTAATAAGTACCGGTGTTATTTGGTTCGTTTATTAACTAATGGACAAAAAAGTCTAGTATTTGGTTTGAATTTGTGCTTATTTTTTCGACAATATATAAATGGTCTGTCTGCATAAACGCATTTTATTCAATATATCGCAAATAGTAAACGTGTTATCGCAGTTCCATTAAATTCCTTTATTGGCGCGGATCTCTATATATTTTATGTCCTAACCAAAAGTACTTGATACTGGTTGGCGGAAAAAATCTTTTACATTTGCATGTCGATCCGCAATGAATTTATAGTTATTGCCGCGGGATTTATTGCCGGTACGGCTTTCCGAAAAAAATCGCGGGGAAAATGACCGCCGCTCGAAATTTAAAATTCAAATTGCAATTGTTTTTTCGTTTCGAAATTGAAACAATTTTGACGTTCGCCGCTCGACCGGGACATGTGTTCTTAGTGTTTTGTCCTTTATTTTGTTTTCGCGGCGTGTCTGTTGTTGGTAGGGATGGTCCATTTTAATTTACCCTAGGTACGTTGTCGTTTATTTTTCCAGAAAATTGTCACAATGAATGGCTCTTGAGTATAATCTAATTTAAATATAATAACACCTTATAATTTGTATGGGAATTAGTGAACTTTTTCATTTCTTTATCAGGAGTAGAAATCATTAGAGATAGAAGAAGACGTTCGATAATAAATATTGGATTATAAATACCTGATTGAATTTAAATTACAATCAAGACCATAAATATTTAAACAAAAACAAAATCGAGCATACTAATTTGGTAAAAGTGTAAAGTTTATAATAAAGGCAGACTGAATATAACCCAAAATAATTCTTCAATTAATATAATCTAAAAAATTACTATGGTCCAAGTAGTAGAAAGTTTAAATTGTATGTGTAAGTATAGCAAATAAACGACCAATAAAATTTACCATAATATAACAAACGATTAAAAAATAATAACACAAAATTTATGTAGACCCCTGTCCTACATCATATGCTGCCGTCTAAGCCCGAATGTTGGACCTTTAAATTGGTAAATTATCATTTTGTGCCCCTTTTCTACGTGCTCGGAGCGGAGGTATATTTTCCAATACAAGACAAAAGTTCTAAGAACTTATAAATATTTCAAAGAAATGTAGAATAACCAAAACAAGAGTTAACACTTTATACATTCTCTGTTCCATTTACCCTTCAACGAGAAGAAATCCATATTAAACAGTGGAATCTGTGCTATAAAATCTTTACATCAATATCTTAAAATCCTAACAATGAAAAGTATAGAGTGTCAGAACCTTGTAGATGATGCATTGCTCTAAAGATATTTATTAGGTACTTCATTTAATTATATATATTTTACATGACGAAAAACATAACA